ACAGCGATCGCCGTTGCACAACAAATACGCTGTTCAGTGATTCTGTCGTGTGTTCACTTCGAATATACATACATGGGACTTTCTGTTGTATGTACGATACATATATACATACATGCATATGTAGATATGTGGGTATATGTGGTATTGTATGTATGCGAAAATTCTGATATCTGTTTACTGTTGTTATTTTTATTGCTCAATTGGGGTGTGGTGTGAAAATTCAAAAGAACAACAACTAAGCATTAGGAGGTAATATGTACTCTGTAGGTGCATATGTACTATAAATCGAAATCGCATGCCAACAAGGTCTTCCGCACAATCGTACTTATGCGCTTATGTGTACTTAACATACTTACGTGCATGATATGAGTATGATCCCAAGTACATACACCTGTGTGTGTTGCTAAGTATTTGTATTCGGTTTTCACTTAATTTTGGTTAGCTGTGTGCACGTTTGGGCGCATCTATTTGCATGGGTGTGTATATAAATATGTATGTACATCTTAAGATCCTATCTACATTAGGACGAATCGGATCTTAATTAAAATCGGCGGTTGCATTTATAGTTCTAAAATAACAACGTAATCGAATTTTAGAAATTCCGGTACAGATTTAGATTAAAAATTTCTCTTATTGTTGAAGGATCCATACATTTAGGTTAGGTTAAAGCATATACAGACCACAACGTTGATTCCGATTAACGGCGCAGCTGATCTGATCAAAAATTTACCTTGACAGACGGCAGTAATGCAGATTAACCAGCTGTGAGGTCGTGAGTTCGGCCAGTAGAATTTTCAATGAATTTGTTTTAATTCGTTCAATTTTTTTCTTTTAATGTTATTAAAGTTGTGGACTTTTTTCTTAAAATTAAACTCTAAAAATTTAAATTGCTGAACAATAAACTAAATAATGTGAAACAAAAGAAATTAAAATAAAGTAAAAAAATATGTACATACTAGGCGACAAATGAAAGAAATTTATGTACATAAATCAAAGCTTCACACTTTATATAAAGTTCAAAAAAATTCAAAAAAATATTCATTAAAATTTCAAAATTTTGATTCAGAATTTCTAGATAGAAATTTCAAGTATACAGTTTTGTAGCCCATTGAAATTCATTAGTAAAACAAAGTGCAAGTTTCAAGTCGCTAAAATTACCGTAGATTTTTAATTTTTTTTTTTTGTGGAGGATGTTGCGCATTTTCTTCCATATAAAAATAGATTTTGATCGTGCGTTAAAAATTGAATATTAGTTATATTATAACAAGGTGTACACTTTCATTTGTCGCGTAGTGTATATAAGTACATATCGTCACCTGAAATGGAAAAAGACGTAACAACATCGTCACTGAAATGGAAAAAGTCGTGACTAATAATATTTTTTTTTTCATAAAACGATGTGGGGAGTTGTAATTCGATGAAATCC